GGAGGACGGACTTGTAGGCCTGCTGCAAGGCGGCATGGCCGCCGGCCGGGCGGCCTGTATGCTCACCCACCCCCCCTTCTCCCTTCAGCCTATGGGATCAACAGCATCCTCTACCAGCGGGGCATCTACCCCCCCGAGACCTTCACCCGCGTTCAGAAGTATGGGCTTACCCTCCTCGTCACCACTGACCCCGAGCTGAAGAACTACCTCAACAACGTGGTGGAGCAGATGAAAGGTGGCGGGGCGCGGGGGGGGCCTTACCAACGGCTGGCGGGAGGCTGCTGTGCCCTTCTCGGCTGTGTCTTTCCCGATGGGTCCGGTCTCTCTCGTGTGAGTAACTGCTGTGGCTTCTTTCAGAGTGGCTGTACAAGTGCATGGTGCAGCGCCTGGTGGTGGTCATCTCCAGTATAGAGAACGATGAGGTTCTGGAGCGGTGGCAGTTTGATATAGAGTGCGACAAAACTGCGAGGGATGAGAGGTGAGTGGCAGTGTTCCTCTGCGCCTGCTCTTCCCTCCACCTGGTAGCTCTGCAGGTACAAGCTAAACGCTGTGAGCATCAGCGTTGCTCCCTTGCAAATACTGTGAAGTTCACAAACATCAATAAACAGAAGCCAACTATCACTTAGCTTTTCTAAGCTTGTCTACCTAGGGCTTAAAAGAGTGTCACTACTATAAAAAAAATCATATAGCAAACAGAACAATGGAGCTTAATGGGGAGAATTGTATTTAAAGAAAGCTCAGCATAGTGGAAGCTTTCTTAACAGAGTTTTCCTATTCTTGCAGCGCACCACGAGAAAAATCTCAGAAAGCTATTCAGGATGAAATTCGATCTGTTATCAGACAAATAACTGCCACAGTAACTTTTCTGCCACTGCTGGAAACTGCCTGTGAGTATTCCTAACTTCACTAAAGAAATCAAACATTGCTTTTGGAAAATCTCAGCGGCTTTTTCACTTTAGAAAGTATTTTCTGCAAACTTTCTGGGACTTTCTAATTATTATATGTCATATACTATCGCATTTCTCAGTCAGCATTTTGTTAGACTGAGATTATGTCTCTTGCAATTGTGTACAGTATGGAAAACAGTATATTGGATCAAATACACTTTTAAGAAGTATTCTATAATGTTTCTTGCACAGCAAACAGTAAAAATAGTTGCAATTATAAATGCTGTGCACCATCTCTCATTAAAGAACTTGGAGCAATTTCATTTAAAGGGACTAGTAGTACCTTCCTCCCCAAAATACTTAAAGCTTTTTTTTTGTTGTTGAAAGGACAGAACTCAGGGTGGCTTAACTAACTTCGTGAAACGAGTATGCATACTCAGAGGAATGTCAGTTTTCATAAATAATAAACTCTAGCTGTGGACTGGCTTATATAAATAACCACTGAGTTTATATTTAGTGCTACATAGTGCTCAGCACCACAGCATTTTAACATTTAAAAAAAATAAAATAATTCACATCACACTTGAGTGAAGTAAAATAGCTACATGTTAATATAACCAGGACTTGTTTTCAGGTTTTAACTACTATTTCTTTTCACGTAACTAGTTATCAGTTCTGAGAACCTTGGTACACGTCTTAAGTCCTAGAAGATGCACTTTATCATGCCAACTTCTTAGGCAGGCATTACTGTTAACTTGCTCCCGCTTGCTTACAGGTGCCTTTGACTTGCTGATATACACAGATAAAGATTTGGCAGTGCCGGAAAAATGGGAAGAGTCAGGACCACAATTCATAGCCAATTCGGAAGAGGTTCGTCTTCGTTCCTTCACTACTACAATCCACAAAGTAAACAGTATGGTGGCTTACAAAAAGGATTCTTTCCCCTAAGATGGGGGGGTGAGGGTGTGTATGTATAGTTTCTGTTCATAGTGCAGCTACATCATGAACACATCCTTACTGTTGCTCTTGTTGAACTATGATACAGGAAAACTGCAACGTTTCTCTATGATAATGTGATATAGTAATAAACCAAGCTGGAGTTGTTGGGTTTTTTTTAAAAGGTCTAAATAAAGTATTCGTAATGATAGTTCAGCTCATACCTAACTATGAGCTAAACTAATGCTATGCTAAACCACTGCATCCACTAGAAAAACTGCCGAAATCTTGGATTAATTGCTAGAGTTGTATTCAGATCTTGTAATTCAGTATTTTAAGATCATTATAAACTGCCTTCTACCGGCAGGCCTACATCTCTGCCAAAAAAAAATAAAAATGAACCCCGCACACGACAGGCCAGTTCTTCATGTTAAAAGCCTGGGTTGTTTTATTACCAGAAACGATCCTAAAATGAATCAACAGAAGAGTAATTCTGAAGTTACTTGTTCCTCTTCACACTGAAACCAGCTTTTTATGGGGAAAATCTTAAATATATGAAGCCTTGTATATTAGCAACTGCTGGACTCTAGTTCTGGGGATGGTGGTGTTCCAAGTCTGTGTGTGTCTCTGCTGTCTGTCAAGTATTTTTTTTATGTTTGTATTCTTGTTTTACAGAATAAAGCATGGAATTGTATAGCATTTGGTAATTCAGACTCTGTAATACTTCATATTTTAAATGTTTTCATCGATGCCACATCTTACTTTGGTATCTGTCATAGAGCCGATGGCAGAATACCACAAAGCTGTCCTATTTAATCTGTCCAATATTGTTATTTTGTTTCTTCTGAGTAAGTATTGTGGATTCCATATGAAATCCACGACTGGATTAATAATTTGCCCCCACTTACATCTTCAAATAACAGTCACTGTTGCCTTCCATATTTGTTAAATAGCACAAAATTCTCTTCTGCATTCTTCTTTTTTACTGGAAGAAATCAGGGATTTAAAACAGCATTAAAATAAAAACACGGAAGAGCTCTAAAGTTCTGTTATTTCCTTCATCAAATTCATTTCAGCTAGAGTATTTAACTTCTCCCACTTTTCTAGTGTAATATACAACTCTTCCTGTTAAAACAGCATCATTTCAGAAGTTTATTTAAAAAACATTGATTATATTTACTCCACCACTGTATTACAAAGTTTCTGAATAGTTCTCTCCAGAACATAGAATAAACTAGCAGAGGTGAAGAGGCAGCCTTTTGTAAATCAGTAGCATAAAATCATGGGTTTTTTAAATAAATACTATCTAGGCACATCAAAAAAGATTATTCACCACTGGAGCTTGCATGGCAGTAACAGAGGAATACCTAGTGTCATCTTCTGCCTGTCAGCAACGTTCTTAAACAGGTGACTGCGCTACCCCTTTACACCTAGAGGGAGGTGCACTTCAAGGAGTGCAACTTAAAGCACTTCCCCTGGGGAGGACTGGATCAAAGCAGTGAGTCAACTGTAACAGGAGTTTCAATTGGGAACTGACAGCTGCTGCTTTATACCCACATTGAGATCAGGAGGTGACTGGTACAGCACCAGCAGTCACAGGTATAAAAAAATGAGCCAGATTTCTCCGGGAAGTTCAACTTGCTTCTTTCTTGTACCACACACAATTTATCATCTTCTTCAAGAAGGACCAGCCCAAAGTCCATTTCCATCATCTGTATATTTTTTTCTTTTTTTATAGAGGCAACAACAGTCAAAAGACAGAGTATATCATTGCATAGAGATAATGTCCATGAAAACTACATGTAAAAAGGAACAGGTTGCAAATCCTGGACCCTGCAGAACAGGAAAGAGAAAAAAAACAGAAACAGCAGTCACATTAATGCAATCTCATAGAAGTCAAGCCTTTATGGAGGCGTCCAACAAGATTTGCTGATACCTAATACGACCCACACTCTTCATTAGTTTCCTCTATCTTGAAGGTCACTTCTGTTACATGAAGAATGAAAAACAAAAGAACCCTCCTCATCTCCACTAGCAGCATAGGAATTCTTAGGAAACCAGATAAAGGATAAAATTTACAAGTTATCAGGCATTCCTCACCTGACTAGTTGAGCTGTCGTATAAGCTGGTTGATTGCGTCGCCTCTCCAGCCAGGCTTACCCATTTCTTTGAGGAAACCCACTTTGTTACGTGAAGCATGGCGAGCCACTGACAGATGGAATGGCCATAGAAAGTTCGTGACTTTCTGGAAATGTTTCCCAGCTGAGTAGATTTCATGTATAAGGTCTTCCAGGCAAATAATACCACAGTTCCCTGCAAGAAAAAAAAAAAAAAACTAAATAAGCCCCACAAAACAACAGGAAGCCATTCCACAAACAACATATACATGAGATACCCAATCGTATTATCTCTCATGCTACTCCAGAATTGCTCATCCTCCATATGAAGTCTTTCAAGATTTTTCTCCCTCCCTCTCTCTCAGGTGAAATTCCAATCTCTCAACCTCTGCCTCTTTCCTTGATTCATTTTCTCATCCTCTTCCTCACCTAAATGTTCCTCAATCAGCATATTGTCTGTCAGAGGTACCCTCTTCTTCTTGATCTTGGCTTGGCCCCGTTTCAGGATGAGCTCTCGTACAGATTTCAGGTTAGGGTGCCTGTACAAAAACAAAAATCAGATTCTGTAACAGAGAGACATGACACAGCAGCAAAGTTCCATCCTACTTCTTTGCATAAAGGTGGGAAAATAAAGAAACTGCGTTTAGAACAATGAGGACAATAACAAGTTTTACACACAAAGTTGACAAAGTTTTGACCATTACTGGAAAAGCCAGCTATGAATTTGTGATACCTGATGGAGAATCAAAGAGCTATAATATTTACATACAAACTACTATCAAGTCACAGGACAGGTACTTACCCCCATGCCACGTAAGGTTCCACGATTCGCAGCATCTTCAGCGATAACGGAGTCAGCTTAACAAACGTTCCAGTGAAATTTCTTTTCAGCCGCAGCAACTCAATCACTCTTTTTACCCTCCTACTCACTCCCTTAATGCTGAATCAAACAAACAAACAAAAAAATACTATTAGTTACCACATTCCTCTAATAGAGCAACAGAAGGCCTCAGATTACCTGTAAAGGAGACATGTCCGCGTCTATCACCCTTCCTTTGCTTAGAAACAATAGAACAGCTACAAATGGTGGCAATAATAAAAATAAGGAGTAACCAAAGTTTCTTACTCTACAATCCGCAGAACAAAGGCTAGTTTGTGCTCCTGGGGTGCAGCCGTCTGTCCAGGTCTCTGCTCCATGCGCCTCAGCCGGACGTCGTCTCGGTGTTTGCGCCATGAATCTCGAACAAAAGCCTCAAGGCGTTTAAACTGGATTTGTTTCCCCTTCTGGTGCTAAAGACAAAAGGGTACGAAATCATCAGCCTTCCCAACAGAGCCTCTCAATGGCCAAGTGAAACTCAGAAGTTGATGAGCCACGCTTTTTCGGTTTTGGAGGCAGTTAAGAAAAAAATAAATTTCATGATCTAAGCCCAAGGGAGACAGAACTGAGGGACAACATATGTCTCTACAAGCACCTAGCTATAATTTAGGAACAGTGAACAAAGAGTTTTTCCCCTGAAAAATAAATAAATTGGGAAAAGCAGAGCAAGGCCCAAGATACTTCTAGGCACAGGAGAAATGAAATGGAAGCCTTTGTAGCCACAGACAGAGAGATCTTCACACGTACATATGCAGCTCTGCCAGAAACAACATGTGTCTGGGTAAAACAGTTGCTATGGCAATACTCTACCATGAAATAAAATCACCATCCAACAGAAGATAACTGGGTTTAGAGTCCTCCTGTATAAACACACACATGTGCAAAAAAAAAAAGCCCAGCATTGAAATTAACTATTAAGTATAACTAATCTAAAGACAGAACAGCCAGCTCACGTGAAAAAAAAAACAATATATTTTCAAAATTATGGGAAAATTTAAGGCTTTTTTTAGATTAAAGAGACATTTAAATGCCTATACTTAGGTCAGGAACAAGTACATCCACCTAAATCATAGTGCTTTCTCTCACAAAACAGAAGCTGAATGTGCATGGCAGATACCCAACAATATTTTAGATAAACTACTGGCTAAATTATTAGGCCATTTTAAAATTTAAGTATCTAACATCATGTCTCTTCTGTCCTATTTTACCTTGCCAATCACCCATGACATTGGTCTGAATTTTCAAAGCAGACAGACCTGATCAAAACCTCATCACTAGGGTCACTTTTCTAATGAGCAAAAGGTGGGTATTTAACATTATCGCTTATGCTTCTACTTAGCCCTGGAAATACAGCACACCATTCATGTATTTAAGAACATAAATACAGTATTTAACAAAAATGGCAGGAGTTTTGTACATAAATCCACCAACTCCACCAATCCACTGGGAAAGCCTTAAAACAGTACCACTAGCCGAGATGCGGCAGAACAGATCTGAAATCCTGAGACGGAGAGGTTTGCTGTGCGGTGCCGCTCTGCAAACCCCACTCCCTGCGCCGGGGGTCTTTGCAGATCCACCCCGGCTCCCCCCTCACAGCCGGCCGCCACCGCCGGGCCACGCCAACCCCTCTGGCCCCCTGAGCTCCCCTGTACCCCCGGGCCGGTGGCCGCTGCCCCGGGCCCCCCTCCCCGCGGCCAGCCCCTACCTTCCGCTTGTTGAGGAGCGCCTGCTTGGCCTGGGTGGCCTTGATGGCCTGGTAGGCCTTCCTCTTCTTCAGCAAGTTCTCCGGCACCAGCGGGATCCGCCGCTTCGGCCTGCGGGGCGAGAGAAGTCGGTCACATCCAGCAGCAGCACCGCACCCCGACCCACACACACACAGCCCCCAGGACTTCCCCGCCGCCACCCCGAGCGCCGCGACCGCACAGGCGCCGCGGATGGCAGCAGATGCCCGGCCCGCCGCCCCGCCACACTCACTCCTCCTCCGCCGCCATCTTGCCGGGGCTGTCGCGCATGCGCCGGAGGAGGACACTGTCATGGCCGCCGCGCGGGGGGTCACCGACTCTTACCCTCGTTCGCCAATGAATCTGAAGCGGACGAAAGGGAAAGACAATTCCTTGTTGCCCAGGCCACGCTCTCTCTGTAGAAACAGAGGCCGCTGCGCAGCGAGCTTTCTGTGTGGCCGGGCCGGAGGTTTTACCTCAGGCTCGGCCCCGCCGTGGTGCTGTGGGAGAGTGTGGCAGTATCCACGTTTGGCAGCGCTGTGGGGCTTCAGCCCCCTTCTGCTCTGCTGCTGCACCCTGCTTAAAAGGTGTCAAGGCCAGCGTTAGCCCTGCTGTGAGTGCCAAGGAATGGAAATAAGGGGCTTGCAGGGCTGTGACCCCTGGATCTAATTGCTGCCCCAGCACTTTGTGTGGCCATGACCAGAACTCTTGGCCTGCAACATGTCCCAACTCGCCTTGTGTGAGAGGGATGTCTCGCCACGCCAGAGGCCTGCAGCAGAGAAAAAAGCCTTTCAGAAAGAGCTTGTCTTTCAGCCACTTGCCTCTGAGCTTCCCAGGAGGAACAGGCTTGGTGGCTTCCAGGTGCAGTGGTCCTGCCCCCAAAAGAGCCTGAAGGGCTGAGAAGACCCAGGTGACAACTTATATGCCACATAGCACACCTGAAGTGTAGGTGGGCAGCTGGTCACAGCCACTTTTGAGGAAAGGATCTATAAACGTGGCTAGGGTCCTGTGCAGCGGAAAAAGAAAGGAGCTCACCTCTGGGAGAGCACACGGCACACCATGTCCTGCTGTGCTGGAGGGCAGGATGGTTATGGAGCAAGGGACTGGGGATGGGGAATTGCCCTGCAGAACTGTAAACCTTGGAGAGCTGGGGAAATGGACACGAGTGGTTCAGACAGCACTCTCACCCGTAGATGGTGCCATAGCCTCACACTAAGGGGGTGTTGCATCTGATGAGATTGTATTCATGTTCTGCACCTCCTCTTCTTCATGTAGGGTAGAAGAGAGATGTGTGCCTGTACACTGGACTTGTGACTTTCATTGTGTCTGATCATTTTGATTTACATCAACCATAGTTTCCTCCTCAACATTTGAGAGCTTGAGCCTTTCGCTAGAAAGCTCAGTGGTGTTAGGGCTTCACTGCTCACCTCAATGAAGCTGCAAACCTGTACGACACTGTAAATTAGGCCATTTCTATTTTGACACCTAATACTTCAATATCTGTATTTAAAACATGGTCCCACATTCCAGTTCCTGCTCAGGCGTATGCAAAGAACACACCTCTTGGTGAGCAAACCCAGCTTCCTATGCTCTGGTGCAGTCTTTTGGATTATGAGACAGAAAGCAACAAGCTTATGAAATAAATCATATGAAACTTTCACTGAAGAAACTAGAAGAAAATTCATAACCACATAAATTTCACTCTGACATTAGGGTAAGCTGTTCCATATAAAAATAGCCAAAATCTCCAGTTGCTCACAACAGAAAATGGTGGCCATTTAAATCTACAAATGAGCATGCTTTGTTTAATAGAAGAGAAATGCAAATGTGATCTCAGCTCTTTCATTATTAATGGTAAGGAAACAATAAGTAAGTAAATATTTCAAGTGCTGTTGCTATGAAATGTCACACAGCATAGCAGCATACCTAGGCTGACTTGTTAAACTTTAACATAGTTATATTGTATTGATGAGCGACTATTCAAATGCCCTTGTTTGCAGGGTTACTCAAGAAAAATATTCTCACTTTCCTAGACAGTAAGCTGTTATAAAGTGACCTTCAGCATTCTCAACTCCTGCTTTCTCCTTTTTTCTTGATAAGGCCTTAGATTTTTTGAGATTTCCATGAACTGTTACAGATAAATGCAATGACTGCATGCTTATGATAATCACCATCCATCAGTGATGGATTATGATTTCTCCTAGTTTATGTCACAAACCAGCTACTGCTTCCCATTGTTATTTTTGATGAAGCTCCATTGTAAGTACATTTTCTCCATTCTTCTCCAGCATATCTCAGATAAGGCTCAGAACCCACCCAAGGAAATTATTCATATAATTCAAAAAGGCCTGTCTGTTTGGGAAGGGTGAGAGGGGAAGGCAGAGATCACCTTTAAAGACAAAAATTGAATGTGTTGTATCAGAAACATCATTCATAAAGCAAGCCAGGAAACACGTATCTTTTCATCACCAGAATAGAATATAACCCTTTCTTCCCCTGTATTGCATGGAGGCTTTTTGCACTTTCATTTCAAAATACAAAAAAACCCAAAACTAATCGGAATATATTTTTTTAGCAAAGCATGTTACCTTTTGATACTAGCTGCAGCAGGTCTTCTACACTGTTTTGAGGGGATGGTGTTTGAAAGGTTGAATAGAGAGATCAAAATCCAAACCTGCAGATATCTTTCCAGAACAGGCAGGCTTTTTTTCTTCACCCTGGGAGAGAAGAATTTCCAAAAAAAGGTGTCTCTCAGAAAGCTAGGTCCTGCTTTGTCTGAGCTGCTTGCCTTTATAAATAAAACCTGGAATATTTTACAGATGACAAAGTGACTCTGCTGTAATCACACTGGTCCATATTGGAGTGCTGCTGCAGCACACTCGCAAATCACTGCCATAGTGTCTGCCTACCTTGTCTTGAAACTCTCCACTGTGCATCTAGAGCACCATTAGGTCCTGCAGAGCCAGCCAAAAGCAGGCCCCTTCATTATGCTTAGGACTTTGTCAGAACATTAGAGCAAATGAAAGCCAAGGAAGACAGATCTGCTCCCTTTTGTTCTCCTGCAGGCCTTCCATGATTCATGTTCTCTAGTGTTGTGTCTTGCCAGCTTTCATTTTATTGTGATACTTTAGACTGGTATTTTGTGTCATGTATTTTAATGTTTATTTTTATTACCTTATTCAGGGATACAATGCAAAGACATTAGAAAATACGAAAATAGCAAACTCATGCTGGTGGGTGTGAATCTCACAAAAGGAAATGCTGTTGCTTTGTTTCATTGTTTGTATGGGTGTTGTGCTTTTAGACTAAGTGACCACAGCTCTTGTTTGGATTAAACATTTAAGGCTATTTTCTCACTGCAGTTGGAATAAATAGCGTGGACTTTAGCCACAGCTTAAATCTTCACTTTCATTATGCCAAAGGCCTAGCTTTCTGAAAGTATCTGAACGTCCCTCTCTTTCCATCAGCTGAGACATTTGCTGTTTGGTATACAGACCATTGGGTTTGGATGCATTGGTTTTGACACTGAGTACACAAATATGGAAGGAATAAGTTTTGTGCAAACTTCTAGTCAGCTGCATTGCCAGGCTGTTTCTACAGTCATGCAGTGATGGCAATCATGGACCCTACATTTCTGAAGTTTTTAATCCTAGACAACAGCTTATGTCCCCAAAAGAATTTTTAATGGCATGCCTACATGGACAGAAATTTCCAATTCTTTCTTTATACTTGCTTCTGTTTAGATACTGCCAGTAATCCTTCTTGTCTTACAGCTTTTCTTAATATTTCTATAATGAGGGCATAGTTAGTAGCAATACGATACATTGCCATAGTTCTATAACTGTGTCTAAGCCATATACCTCTATAAATATAAAGCAAAACAGCATGTCTGTGAAGCTATCACAGTATTCAGACTGGTATTTGATCTGCAGTTTGAAAGTGACACATGTGCAGCTTGAAAAAGTAACAAAAACCCATCGCTAGTTGAGCGCACAAATGTATATAAAAATATATAGAATGTGTATATGTGAATTTGTGTAAACAAATGTAAACAAAATGTAAATATAGTTAAGAGCATGTAAAAAACTGACTCACTTTTGCATGCAAACTTCTAGGGCTCCTGTGATGATGCCATCTATTGCTCGAAGTAAGAGGAGGGATGATGCTGACCTGACTGCAGAGTCAGCGCCTGCGTTTCTGAGAGGACAGCTGGGTGAGGAAACATAGGGTGGACAACAACGCAGCAACAATGACCCCGAAAGCAAAGTCAGGACTTGAGGTGGGATGGTAGAAGCATCTTGTCCATGAAACTTCTTGCCTTATTTTATGGTCTCACTGTAAGAGATAAGCATAAAACCCCATTAAATTAATTTCAAATCCAACAAAATCTCAATTGACACTCTGTGCAACCTCAAAAGAGCAAAAAGCCATGCTTGAAGTCTGTCACTCTCGCCAGTGAACCATGCCTCAATCTGAAATCTGCCTGTAATGAATTCCCTACAAAAAGAGCCAGAGAATTAAATTCTGTTTATTTTGCCAAACCATCGTCTAATCTTGGGAACATTTTAATGGATGAGATCCCTTGTGATCTTAAATTATGCCCATTTTCATATCTTCTAAGCAAAAAGTTTATATGAATTGGAAAGAGGCCCAGGAACTACTCTATACACACACTCAAACCAATGTTTAACAGAAAAATGTTGGGTGGTCCAAGACTTTCTTTTATGAAAATAACAATCATATGGAGATAGATTAACATTTAATAAAAATATTTTTGTGAAAAGCTGTAGGTAGATGCATATTTTTATTCTTTTAAAAATAAGGTTCCTTAACACAGGCATTTTTGTCAGAAATCCTGCAAATCAATTTCATGCTGCAAAAGGAGTAATTTGGGTATAATGCAGAGATGTGGATGAGACTAAGGTAGGTGTTTACCCTCAGCTAGTAGCCACCTAATATGTCAAATTGAAAGGGCTAAAGACCTGAAGTTTTTTGCTTTGTGTCTTCCTGGGAAGAATGAGTGAGGAAAACCAATTCAGTTAAAAAGAAATGTTTAACATTTTAGATTTCTGCTCCTGTCTTTTCACTAAGGGATTTGCTTTATTCAGACTTTAAAAGTAATCCCTCAAAACTCTACATTGTGACCTTAAAATTAGATGAAAAACTACAACTGACTCCACCAGTTGCATACTGAGCTGCAGATAACCGTATAAAATAATGCTAGCGATTGAGTCCAGCCCACCACAGGCTACACACCTCCTAGATACAGCCCCCATGGAATGGGGTTTACTATATCTGCATCCACA